GGTGTGTGCAAATGTGCCTTATTCCTCGGTATACTGATCCACACCAAGAGAGAGACAGAGAGAGACTTGGCACGTTTCAGCCATTGTCACACGCGGGGGCTCTTTGCGCTCAGAGGTCTGCCTAGTTCGCGCTTGGATATATCCGCTAAATACAGCACGGAAATCTCGGGGTAGAGTCGTGTTTTCGTCGCCTGCAAAAGCAGCACGCGTTTGCTCTCCCTTCCTCCCTCTCTTTCTTGTGTCTTATATACCCGGAGCTGCTGCTGCCGCTCTATTTAATACGCGCGACATAAGGAGCAGCGCGAGCTCACGTAAGATCGTATAATACAGAGCTCCGCGCCAACCTATATAATATAAACTTACGCGTCGAACCTATGTGTGACTCTCTCTCTCTCTCTCTCTCTCCTTTCTCTGCTACTGCACGAGCGAGCGAGAGATTCGCGCGAGTTTTGCATTATACGCAGCAGGTGAACTTGCGAGTATCCACTTGGCGCCGCTGCGCACTGTGTTCTCGCTCGCGAGCATGTGCGCGAGGCATATAATATAACGACGTTGATCCTTATTATATAGCCAAGCGTGTGTGTACCGCGTACAGAGAGGGTATGGCTCTCTTGCAGTAGCAGAAAGAGAGACAGAGAGACGGAGACAGAGGGAAAGTTTGCTCGAACAAGTCTATGTCACGAGCGAGGCGTAATATACACACAGACTGACGCACAGGATACAGCGTGTGAATTGGTTATATGTCAAGTTATGTAGCTTCAAACGAATAAATAATAATAATAATGATACCGAAGGTCATAAATAGCCCATCGTAAATATTACCATAAGATTCAAACTTGCCCGCGAGCTTTTTTGAGTTAAAGTCCATTGCAACTGTATGCTTAACTGCGCTGGGTTGTTATCCGCGCCACAGAAAAAAGTCCTAACTACGCTGCGCGTGAGTCTGGCGATGATCGAACTATTTATGCAAATGGAACGCGCACGAGACAGGATGCAAATTTAAAAGCGCGGCGCTGCAAGAAAGGCGCGGATAACGAAGCTCATTGTCGCGCGCTCGGAGCCCCGACGAGACTCGAAACGTTGCTAAAGTTCAATATGTATAAATGTGCGGGTGGGGTATAATGTACGTGTTTGTATCTAGTCACACGAGTCGTGCGGCGAGTTATGCGCAAGGCAGCGACGACGACAGTGTATCCGCAGAGATTTGATTTAAATGTTAATCGTTGAGGATGAACAAAGGAGGAGGGGGACTGCTCGAAATTTTTTGATCTTACAACCACACGCCCTAAATTTAAATTCATTTTCAGCTTACTAGCCCGTTTGAGGCGTATTTCGTACTGAGCGTCCTCAATGGGTAATGCCGTCGATTTCAGTCGAGCAGCGCGGCGCCACTGTCCTCGCACTATAATCATGCCTCCTGGCACTATAATAATGATTACAGTGCGAGGAGGTGAGTATAGCGAGCGCTTGTTTTTATATGTCGTACGTATAACGTAGCGCAGCGGTGCGTATAGCGGGTTGCCACGGTCACTCACTGTCGCTCACTCGCTTCTGCGAAGATCCGACTTAACCAAATTTTTTTTATATTTACGTATACCGCAGGATGGATTTAAACTCAAACATTGGGCATAATGCCGACGAAAGTGGGTCCAGCAGTAGTGAAGACGAAGATTACGAATCGTATATACAAGAACTAGTCGACAAAGCTCGTTCGAATTTAATACCCGAGCAGTCGAAACATTTGTACGAAGCGCATATTACTACAGCTCGCCTTCGGCTCGCGATCCTCTTTTGCAACATAACATCTTCATCGACGTTATTGTTAACTGCTTGTGACTGAGCTTCAGCATTAATTGAATCTTTTTAGGTATTGCTCCTCAAAACGGGCAAGTAAGCAGAAAAATTGTTTATACATGTAAATAACTATTAAAGGGAGGAGGAAATAATATATTGAGTTCGATACAACGGACCACTTTACTTTTTCATCGTTTCAATGTGTAACTTTTAATAATAAATTCTCTTACAAAGGGAGATATCTAACTTCCATACCTTTGTTTATTTTTAGATTGTCAATCAGCTTGGCAAAACATAATCAACTAAAAAAATAAACAAAAAGCTGTCATGTATTTGAAAGGCTATCTGTAATGTATCTGTGATGTAGCTCATTTTTTGAAAATCTATTAATGTGCAACCAAGCTGTACAAAGGTTTTGTCATGAAATTGTGCATACGTACGAGCTATACTAATATTGCTAGCTATGCTAGTCTCAACGCTAGTATTCCCGCATGTGAATTATTAAAAGGTGCTGTTCCTATGAACCTCTTGGCGGAGCAGGCCCTCAGGATCAAGCGATGCATGAATGCTGCTATGCGCTTCTTTACTGGACTCAAGAAGTGGCAACATATTATTCCAAAACATGTGAAATTTAACATCCTGCCTTATGAGAAGCGAGTCCAGTGCGCTAGCCTTGGCCTGCTTGCTGCGCAATGGTAATCCTGACAACAAGTCGGCGGAGTTCGAGTTCCGCGAGGCACCTGCAAGCCGCAGCTCTAGGAGGGATGAGCTGGAGTTGGTCATCATCAGTGCACTTTACTCGTTCACTATTGAAGCTGCGCATTTGTGGAACGGGCTGTCTTACAACATCAGAAGAAGCCTCAGAACTTTAAGCTTTAAGAAACTTCTGCGGCAGCATCTGCTGGAAGTCTAATCGGTCTTTGTTCATCTTTTTTTTATGTTTATTTTTTTTTATTGCATTCAATAGATGCCGATGTATTGTGCTACTGGCTGCTACCACATATTGCCTAACTTACTCTACCTTAGTAGCTATATGAGTCATGAAGGATTTCTGGCCTTGGCTACTTTAACTCTAAACTCCAAAAAATACAGATATTTAGTGAAAAAAAGTACGATGAGTGTTGCAATATATACAAATGAGTGTGATAGGAATAGTCATTAAAATTAGAGAGAAAGAGGAAAAGTGCGGGGACGTAAATGTGTGAGATGAAATAATTTTGATTTTTCACGGATAAAGAACGAGTAAATTTTGTTTATGTGTGAAATTAATTGTTTTTACGGCAATTAGTCAGGGTACGAGTCTCTCAGGTTTTTCTAAAATCAGAAAAATCACCATTTGCTTGAGAAAAAAGTCTGCCGGAAATTCTGTCAAATTTACCACCGGACTTTTATCAATTTCATTTTCTGATGCGCCTCAAGTCTGCATGAAAGTATGGAATCGTGGCCAAAGCGCGACTTTGACCTGCGACATGCTGGCATTCGATCTCCACTATGACAGTCGTGTTACGCTGTCACACGCCTCTCCCCTCTTCAGCACGCAGTCCCACTGTGATGGGACACAAGCAACACGTGTAACTAACGCTGCAGCCGCAGCGACGAGCGTGTGAGTAATCGTATGTGTGCGAAAGAGAATCCATGTGTCAACGCAGGATCTATATCTTTTTCCCTTACAGAGCAAGGGCGTACCAATTGGTCACGTGACTCATTAGAGCGTCTTGCGAGCGCGTGGAGCGCGATCATTGGAGAGATACTCTTTAGTTTTACTATTTCAAAAGCTTTTTACAAACTTTCAGAATCAGGCAATAATAATTCGGGTTTACTTTTGAAAAAAGCGATGCCGATTCGTTTAGGGCTGAGTGTTTTGTTTGGATACTGAACTTTGCTCAATCTATTATTAATCATAACGTTAGATAGATTCAGATTATTACAAATTCGTTCGTGCGATAAGTGAATGTTCATAGAAAGTTGTCAACAAATCAATAAATATAAGAATAGTTTTAAATAATTTAGCAGAAACTTCGTAAAATTCAACTTTGAAAAAAATTAACGAATTTTCAACTAATTTTAAAACTCATCGTCGATAATTCGTGTAATAATATTGCGAAGCAAGCGAACGAGATATTAATCATTTTTGCCGATTCATCAAACTATTTTAATGACGATGTATTTATTGTTAAAAAGTGTATCTGTCACATGGATCAAGTTTGATTAGACAATTAACATGTGCCTCGTTTACAATATCTTGATTATTGCCATACCTGATTTATTTGATCGTTCATGTGTGTATACGTCGATTGATCTATTTCGATTGAAAGTTGTGATAAACGAAACGTGAAGTGCGCCTCGCTGCAACGGTAGCACACAGCCACGCCGTGACGTTGATAAGTTTTATCGTCGTTCTCTATGCGCGCGTGTGGATTCGTTTTTCCCTTTTCATCGATTCTAATTGTTCAACCCAACCTATACACATACGTACAATGGGTTCGAGGCTATATATCCGAACTATATATTCCCGAACTATATTTATGGAAACTGATGAATTTCGTCTATACACGATGACGGAGGGGCCGAGGGACGACATGCATTTTCCGCTCTCAGTTATAATTGGTTGTAATTTTCCAACTAATCGATAGCAACGCATCGATCTTGCATTTCGCGGCGCTCTATTATCCGCTAGCTTCCCCAGACCTACCAAAGTGCATTTGTTGTGTTGCTGCTGCATATTTTGTCCCGCGCGAATGTGCGTGGGTGCGTGTGCGAAGGCAGGCGACTAACTCATTAACGCCAGCTGTAACAGCATTGATGAAATGCTACTACTGCGGGAAACGTAGCCAACCGCGCCCTACCCACCGCCCTAGTAATTAGAGAAAATAAATTACCTCGCGCCCGAAACTTCGTGTTTTAACCAGCTGCAATTATATATAGAAGTGCATAAACAAAAGAATAATTCAGTGGCTTCGCAAAGATGATGAAAAGACAATTGGAGCCCAAGACGCAATGGACTAGAAAAGTGCCACATTATTGCTGCGGCTCGTTGCATAGAGATAAAAGGTAGGATTTTTTGCAAGATTCTCGCGCTGATTAGCAGCGCGAATCGATTAGTGGAGCACACGCGAATGACAACATTCAAGTGTGCGTCATGTTGCGCTGCGTATATTTATGTTTGTTTCTCTGTTTACTATAAAATGACGCTACCAGCTTGCGGCCGCGCTCACTGATTTCAAACATACGCACGAGTAATCATCATGTCGATAATTGCGGTGGCTCTGTTGGCGTTTGTGCTTGCTGCTACTAACTGCAGCGCTGGTGAGTGTGTTGCTTATTTAATCAAGAGGTGCAGTAGCACCTAGCCGGCAAAGTATAAAAAAAAGTTATTAAAATATTTTTTTCAAAAAAAAAATTTTATGCAATAATTTTCATAAAATTAGGTTTATAAAAAAATATAATTATTAAAATAAATTTATTCCATTGAAATCCATTGAAATTAGCCTTATTAGCTAAGAAATGTCGGCTAGGTGCAGCGCACCTATTCAATACGTCGGCACGAGAGAAATAAAAAATGGTAGTTCTAGTTAGGGTACTTCTGGTATTCGAAGTGCTACCAGATAGGTATCATTCGATAGGGAATAGAAAATAATGAACTCATGAAAATTTTCAGATGATTTGGTGCATTGGATAAAAAGATAGAGCCATCCAAATTTTTTTTAGCATGAAAACACGTTTTTTTACTATTTTTTGTTCCAATTTTGAGTCAGCCACGAGATCTCGGGGAATACTTAACCGATCGAAATTCTGACGGTTAAGGAGATTTCGAAAGGTATACAGCTCTACTCCAATAGTTCACTCTCAAAATTTCTGATTTCCCGGAAAATTCCTCTTCTAAATCGATAATTTAGTGAAGTACCGTTTAGAGATTATGTTTCAAATATGTTTCAAATTTTGTTTTCATGTCAGCCACGAGATCTTAGCGAAAAAAAATTTTAACCAAATTCTGCCAGGTGATTCGGAAAGGTTTTGAGCTCTTTATCGATTATTAACTCGTGCGCTATTTTTGCGACAATGGTATGCATGAGAAATTGGTGTATCTGTTTTAAACACTAGTTCATAACGAATAATGAACGAATTGTAATTCTCAAAATCGATTCGTATGCGTAGTGCACGTACCGTTCTTTTACATATTATTCTATTATCGGGCAGTGCTCATATTAACTTTTCAATGACTTATAAATAAGTTTGAATCCCGGCAAAGTACACTCTTATTAACAACAATAGAGTTTTAATAGCAACATTAACGATAAAACATTTATTGTAATTTTTCACAAATCAATTATAACTAATATATTGGAATATCGAAATAATCGTCAAAGATGTACTTCTAATTATTTGATACAGTGTGACCTTTATAGATTTTTTAAGTGTTATTTACAACGGCTATAAAGATAATTCATTAAAATATTAAAATTTCTAAAAAATCGTCAAAGTTACATTTGATGATATTATCTGCCCATTAATCATGGAACAAGTCATAGTCAATAGCAATGTAACGGCTGTCGAGCCGCTACTTATTTTAAACTAGCGACCCCGTCGTGGCTTCGCCCACGTTCAATTTTTTTAACAAATTCGACTGTTTAAAAGATCTTAAACAGGCCACGTCAAGTGCGTAGTAGGAAATGTATAAGTTGAGTCCACACACTTGTAGAACTCGAATAGCGTAATAACACATGTACACATCAAATACAATGTATTCCGATTCACCGCGTGTAAAAAAAACATCTGCTTTCGGTCTTTTTTATAACCATTAACCGGGCAAGGGGCGAGCGAGCGCATGAAGTGGTAAAATACGAAAAAAATTCTGAACTCAAAAATTAATAAGCAAATAATGGTTTTAATATGATAGAAACCTGCGCAGTAGTATAATGAATACGTGGTAAAAATTTCAAGCCGATTGGACAAATAGTTTTTGAGATCATAAAGGACAAACAGACACCAGCTTCGCTTTATATATATAGATAATAGGGGATCTTAATCTGGCGGGGGAGAACGAATGGGTGGCAAATAAAAGCCGTATACCTTCTCCTGATTACAACAATTATACATTTATTTACGCGACACTTAAATGCTAATTACAAAGGTGATAGATCTTAAACTACTTAACATACAGCTACGGACGATTCGTGACAGTCTCGATGATGATGTAGGCGCTGGCTCTCGTGGCAGATGATTCTCCTTCTGCAGCTGGGCCCTTCGGTAAATGGCAGTCCTTACTTGTCGCTAGCGCACTCACTCGCAATTTATTTTAACACACGCGAATAATTCTAACTTGACAAATTTTATAATTCAAGACTGCGTACTGATAGCTAATATTACAAATCAGACTGACAAGAGCTCCGCGCACCGTATAAGTTGATAATAGAATCGCACAGAGGCCTCCGTGGGTCTTCAATATATACTACTAGATTTCGCATACAAAAATAGGAGAAAGTACCTGTCAGCACCTGCTCATCCGTGAGAACCTGACGACAGCTTTTACTAATTTTTACGAGTTTATTGGTCTTCCTGTTAAACCGACATCGCCTCAAATTTAATCAATGCTTTGCATGGCGTGTCTATTTCACACCTTTGTAAGAGGTGTAGATTTCGATGTTCTTTTCATAGAACTCGATGTTTTTACCAATTTTATAGTTTTGTTTTTCACTTAGCTTGATGTCGTCAGATCCCGTCGATTGAGGCTGGCGCGTCCTTTCGTAGAGTGAAATTTCATGTTTATCGTTATTTGAATATACATTATTTTTACGAATATTATAATTGTTTATAATAAAATAAGGGTGACGTGACAGCAACACTTTACTTATGCTGCACTCAGATTTTCAGTACGAAATATCACTTTGCGTACCCAGACCTTTTTGGATTACATGTAAACAAAATCAATCGAACTTGTAGAACAGAGGCTTTAATGACTTTTTATTCGTGTCCGTAAAATGTCCAATATAACAATTCTATTTTCTTCTGTATATAATTTAAAACTGAGCAACTTTATATTTCATCTTCTTATAATAATTTATAATACAAATATTATTTTTCACAAAAACAAGTTTTTCAATCGATATTTTTCAATTTCTGAACTATCTCTCAATGGAGAAAATACTCAAATTTTTATGGTAGAAAAATTGAGATAATTGTTTATGAGAATCATATTAAAAGTTTTTGTTCAATGTGAGTAAGTTTCACAGTTATCGGTATTATAAAATAGTCTATATTATTCAAATTCTAGCGTCGGCTTATTATGAATACAGATTAAATTTTTCACATGTATGATGCTGAAAAATACTTATTTTCGTATGATTCATGTAACTTTTATCAAATTTTATCTTCACTTTTAATGAAAAATGTACATTTCATTTCATTTATGTTGCAAAGAAATACAACATTTTTTCATAATTGGATATAAGAGCGAAATTATTCATACGGCTCCAATAGATGTAGTGACGATACTTGGTAGCCAATAAGGTCTAGACACGCAAAGTGATATTTCGTACTGAAAATCTGAATGCAGCATAAGCAAAGTGTTGCTGTTGACTATGACTTGTTTCATGATCAATAGGCAGATAATATCAACAAATGTAACTTTGACGATTTTTTGGCTGATGAAAAAGTTACATCAAAATGAAAAATTGTTTTCCTTTTGTATGATTATTTGTTTACTCTGTGCCTAAACTTAAACCATTATATTTATTTTGACACTTGCAGATTTACAGATTAAGATACTCGCCATCTAGTGGTAAAAGTTTAAAGTATTAATATTGAATTCACAGGTTGAAGATCCAACCTAAAATTTTTTGAAATTGCAGTTTAATTTTTATTTTGAGCTCGTCCAAAATACGCATTTGATATTTATAAAATAGTTCTATTTCTCTCCGTAAGTTATTGCTCGAGTGACAATCGTGTTGCGCCACTGCTAAATCATTACGGTTTACGGATAAAGGTATACTCGCCATCTAGTGGTGGAGTGTTAATTAAGAAGTGTTATAGTATTAAAAGTTGTTGAAAATTGATCTAAATTTTTTGAAATAATTTAATCAACGACAATGTATTTTAAAATATTTCAAATAGTCACTTTCGGTCGTTATACCATTATAATGTTGAGCATTTATACCAAGGAATAATTATGATAAAACAGTTAAATGATTCGCAAACGCAAGAATTTTCAAATCCATAGTGCACGTTTTTTATAATCTATTATTATATACAGGCAGCAAGTCAAGTTTGAACCTTTTATGGCCAAGTCAGAGGATAGTCGGCGGTGAGAAGACGGACATCGAGCAGCATCCGTTCCAGTTGAGTCTGCAGCGCTCGGGATTTCACTCTTGCGGCGCCTCGATCATCAGCAGAAAGTGGGTGGTCACGGCTGGGCACTGCGTCGGGTGAGTACAATTTTGCAATGTACAATAATTAAAAAAAGAAAAAAAAAAGCACAGCACGTATATCACGTTGGTGTCACCGCACAGAGCTCCGGAATCGTCGTACAGAATAGGCTCGGGCAGCACCAGTCGCTTCAACGGCACTCTGCACAAGGTCGCGAAAATCGTCCGACATCCCAAGTATGATTCTTTGGCCATCGATTTTGACATAGCAGTGATCAAAGTGAGTATAAATACGATGTATATCGCGCACGGTGGCACGCACGTACACAAAGGGCGGGGGGTCGAAGCGAGGTATTTCGTGATGAACTTTGGGGGCAGCCGCAGCCCGACATTGGTCACTAATGAAACTTTTGTTTGTTTCCTTCCTGCTTCTGCTGCTACTGCTGCTGCGTGGGATGACTCGGCTGGCTGGCCCTTGCTCACATTTCCACACACACACACACACATATCTACACACATAGATCGAAGACGAATTCGAGTATGGACCGAGCGTACGTCCAATCAAGCTACCGGAAAGGGAATTGCTCGCGGGCGAGCGAGTGAACATCACTGGTTGGGGCGCAACATCCGTAAGTAGAAAAAAAAAAAAATAAGAAAGCGAAAAAACAAGCTTAACGAGCAATTTAACCGAAGCTCACCGTATAAACCGTTCTCTTTTCTCATATTATTACCCTAAAACGACCTCGACCATAGATGGTCATCATCCTCTCCTCCTCTTTTCTACATATAAACGATTTCTCCCTTACGTCTCTCTTTAACGTCGTCGTAATTGCAGCAAGGAGGCTCGCTGCCGGACACTTTGATGAGGATCCAAGTGCCTATAATCGGCCGTAAGCGCTGCGTCGAGGCTTACAAGCAGGTCAAGCCCGTGACCGAGCGCATGATCTGCGCCGGCCAATTGAAGAGCGGTGGCAAGGACTCGTGCCAGGGCGACTCGGGAGGGCCCTTGAGCGCCAACGGCACGCTTTACGGTATCGTTTCCTGGGGTTACGGCTGCGCCAGACCCAATTACCCCGGCGTTTACACGAACGTCGTCTATCTGCGAAGTTGGATCACCAGCATTACCGGCGTTTAGTAAAGATAGTGATAGTAGTCGTTACGTACGAATATATAGGGGGAGCGATCTTGTTTTTATATGTATATGAAATTTTCAACTCGTCTTTTTAAGTTTTTGCTCCTTCATTCGTATACCCATGTATATATTTATAAGGTTGTACAGTGTGCAGAAAAAAGCGCCCTAAGGAGGTAAGGAGAAGGAGGGAGGAGAGAGAGAAGCGCGAGTTGCTGCACCGAGGCCGAGAAAATAAGAGAAAATATGACGAGAGTGCTTGACTGGTAGCTAAGCTCTTTACGATAGTTTCCGCAAGAGTTTGCTGCTGCTGCTTCAAGTTTTGCTGCTGCTGCTGCTGTGTGCAGTAGCTATATACCCCGTGCTCACTGCGACTGACGTAAAAAGAAGTAGTAGAAGAAAGTTATATAAATATCTTATAGAACAAGACTAAAAGCTGTTTATGCTCTCTCCATCTCTCTCTCTCTCTCTCTCTCTTCTGCTCTCTAACGCTGTTGGGNATATAAAATAAAAGTCACTTTTTGTGTAAAACAGATTTTTATACATATATACATCTCTACGTCGAGACGATGACAGCTTTTCTTTTTTTTACTTTTCCACATCTTCTACAGTTTCGCGCGTATGTGTGTGTATACATATTATTAGCCTCACGCGCGTGTATTAATGTTTGCGAAGCTTTTAAAAAGGGGCGGTAAGAGGATCTTCTCTTCCCTCCCTTCCTCCCTTCCTACTCTCTAAAAAGTTATATCGCAAAAGTTTTATTTATCTTTTACTTCTTTTTCAACAAATTCGCTTTTGAAATGCGCGAATGCGTCGGGCCGTCGATGCACGCAGTATACGCTGTGTACACGCGACAACAACAATCGATGATGAATCCAACACACACAGCAGCAGCACGATGCTTATAACTTGCAAAAAGAACAGAAAGAGAGAGAGAGAGAGAGAGAGAGAGAGAGAGAGAGAGAGAGAGAGCACGAGCGTTATCAAACCAGAACTATCTTTTGCGCGTGCGGCTTTTCTATTATCATCTTGCTTTCTCTCTCTCTCTGTCTCTCTTTCTCTCGCTTTAGTTCAAACTTGCAACGATTCAGCAGGCTCCTTATCTCGCCTCTCTCAGACCGGCTAAAACTCGATGTCGCAGAGCTAAGAGAGACAGAGAAGTTTTGGTTTTGGCTCTCCTGCGCGACTTTGTGTGTATTATCCCCGACGGAAAAAAATCGTTCAAGAAAAGTAAAAGTAATAACTACAACCATCCTATTAAATTGTAAAATGCAATAAAATGTAAAATTACTAGCGATTTCGGACAGCCAATCCATTAAAAAAAGCAGCATAAAATTACACTTTTTTACACTTTTTTACACTTCATTACAATTTCTTACATTTTCTTTAATATGCTATCCGCGTGTGATCGCATCAATCGCAGCAAGTGATTTTCGTGAAAAAATGTATTGATTTTTATGAATAAATTAAGAAAAATTATAATGGATATGTATATAAACCATATTCATTCATCTAAGTACTCCTCAGTACATCTATGATGATGTTATAAGGCTTTCTGCTGCATCAGAGTGAGTTCACTTTTTTCACGAAAATCACTTGCTGCGGTAATTCGATCATAAGCGGGCTGGCGTAGAATTTTAAATTCATAAGTAAAAATTGTAACATTTCAAATTATTATTACAGAATTTTATGTTTTTTACACTTTTTTACTTTTTCCATGTAACTTCAATGAACTTGAATTCATAGGGGTTTCATCTCTCTAATTATAGGTAAACAAATTTAATAAACTGCAATAGAAAGTAAAAAAGTGTAGAAAAAAGTATCACATGTCCGAAATCGTTAGTAATCTTACATTTTTTTACACTTTTTTACTTTTTATTACAGTTCACAATATTATTATGTACTTTATTTAAAAAAAAATTTCCGCTGGGGATAGTCCGCGTGGAGGTTTGGGATTGAATGAATGTACAGATACAGCTACGTGACGTCAACGTGTTCAAGATAGTTTTCGTATCCCTATCTCGTGCGTGTCTTTGCACATGCAAACGAGTGCAAGTGGCAAGAGCATACTATTTAATTTTTCATAATATTTGTAGTTTTGGGATAGCATGAATCTTTATCAGACTTTTTATGTCAAATTTACAAGTGCCACTCAGTGGATTGCTGGACATTGTGATGCTCCCTATGAAGAATAGCACGTTTTCATTTAAATTAATACACGAATGGGAGGGGGGGGGGGGGGGGATTCTTTTTAGGTAATGTCAATGACCTAGTGACCAAAAAATTACAGTTTAATAAATATTAAAAATAAAATTTGTAAATTTTCATTAATTGGTTTGCTTTTAGCGATTTTCCTTTTTTCAATCTATTGATAAGTACCTTTAAAATTAATTAATTAGTCGGCAATCTTTAAATGAATAACGGGTTAATTGTTGCAAAAAGTTTAAACCAATTTTCAACCACTATGAATGAGATTATAGTAGTTTAACCCTTCACCACTAGGTGGCGAGTACCTTTATCTGTTAATCTGCAAGCCTTAAAGTAAAAATAATTGTATAAGTCCAAGCAGGGTTTTAAAAAATTCATCTTGCCGTTAACGTAAATGAACAAAAATAGCAGAAAAGAGTCAGAGACACGATTTCCTCATTATTTCTAGTCAGATTTAATTTGCAGGAAAAAAAATTAAAGCTTCCTTCCCTCTGTATACGCATGAAAAATATACAGTGTAGCTTTTGCATGCAGACCCCACGATAGGGATGCAGACTAGCTCGACTAGCGATCGAAAATATGTGTGCTGCAGCTTGTGTATAGCACGTGCGAGCAACAACAACGTCCATATCTATATACCTGCATTTGTATCGATACCCCCTTTTCGAAAGCTTTTTCGTTCGCAACCGGCAACATACATGTGTGCAAAGCTTTTGCTCGCCTATCAATTTACGAGTCACCCCATGACTTTTGGTTGTTGTTGTTTTTTGACTCTTATATATCAGCCTTATCGGCACACGATAGCCCGTGAGGCCACAGAGGCTTTCGTCTTTTCATTAACTTGATTGTCTCTGGCTTGCCTGCACGCGTGGGTGATTCCCTTTTTTATTTGACGCGTCCAGAGCGAGGTGCGAAAAACAAAGCCACTTAAAATTTGTGTTTTGACAGTTTTTATCCTTATGGGTAATGTTACTTCACTTAATAAACTTTGGTTTATTTTTTTTTATTTTGAATACGAATAAATTTTTGAAACGTAGATCTCGCTTACTGACTTACATTCTAAATAAAAAATAAGTTTGAAGATAACTTCAATCATACTTTGTATCGGAGGGCGAGTATTACTTCCGCGTGATCTCATGGATCATGCAATGGGTAGTACTGTATAGCAATCGAAAAAGTTAGTTTAACCATAAAAAAAAATTGTTTTTTTCCCGTCGTTAATGGATTTGAAATCGAGCCTTTCACGTCACAAACAGACTCGCTGATCGAGACTTACTTTATAGTCGATATATAGTATCCCCTGCTGCACTGTAGCTCTCTCGCGAATGTACTACCACGTACGACGTTCGAGCTTCGAGAGAAAGAGAGAGAGAGAGAAATTTGATTTTTACTCCAAATCAAAATCAAGCCTCGCTCGCGCCCTTTTTTTCTATATATCTATTTTTTGCCCTCGCTGTACTTTTTCCCTCTATTGGATTTTTCTGTTGACTGTTAGTGCTTTTTCGATATTGTTGAAAAAATAAAAGGACATCCGGCCATATAGACGGAGTATAGCTGCAGCAGCGGTGCATCGAAGCAATATATAGCGTATACGACGAATACACACGTACAGATATACTTTGGACCGAGTCGAGAGAACGGCGGTAAAACGTGGTCGATATTGGATTTGACCACACATGCCACTTTCGCTTCTGTGTCGTTGTTGTTGCTTTTTTTCACTTCCATATATACGCAGGACTGGTGGTGCCCTGACGAAATTCGCAGGTCTTGGCTGCATATTTATACATATATAATATATATATATCTACGCTGCAGTTGCGCGCACAATAGCAAACAATCTATCGCAGCGCGTGCGCGCGCTTATCCCGCACGATGAATTTTATAAAGCATGACCGGCTGAAATCTGTGTATGAACATAAACACCGAGCGAAGCTCGCAGGCGCGCACAGGCACACTAGGACGAAAAGGAAAAATATATCTGAAAGCACGGCGCGCGCGCGCGTATTCCACTATGCGTGTATACATAATATATAGTCGATAAACAAACGCAGGGTTGAGGGGAAGGGGATAGGTTGTATGCGTGTCTCGCAACATACACACACACACACACACACACACACACACACACACACACACACACACACACATATCTGTGCTGTACGCGCGCGCGACAGCAGCAGCGCGGCAAAAATGCGAGAGCGAAAATACATCGAAGCCTCCAGCGGTTTAATATACAAGCTTTATACGATGGGATATGGAAAATGATAAAAGCTCTCCCACTTTTGCGTATAAATACACGTGTGAGCTGCAAGCTCACATTTACACAGGCGCACACATACGCGTACACACAGAGACAGGCAATAAAATGAGAAGCCAGGCCAAAGGAAAAGGATAGAGAGCAATGCCAGGCACGCTGCAGCTCGACGCCGGAACAGCGAGAGAGAAGGATATATGTGTACATGGGAAGATAGGCTCGGTAGTGCACACGCGTGCGAGAGAGGAACTATATTATACTCTCGTACGAGATACTATCTCGACGCCCGCGATATAGTCATAAACAGGCGTTTTCTTTCCTCTCGCTTACTCTTCTATTCTTTTTTTATCCCTCCGCGTACTTCGTTTGTTATTTTGCACGACGGACGCGTGCTGTGCTGTACGCAGCGCTCGATATCTCGAAGCCATTTTTTCTTCCATTTTTTTCATCGTCATATACAGATCGAGCTTGCGCAAGCGAGAGCGTATAGAAAGACCAAATCGCAGCTGAGCGTGACACACGAGAGCGCGCGCCCGCGTCTGACTACGGCAATATAGTATGCGTATATCGCGTACGCGTATACCTGACCCGATCGCGCAACTGCTCGTAAATCAACGCACGTGTATAACCCCTGCGAGCTTGCATATACGTCGTACACACATACACATGCATACACAAGCTCGCGCTTGAACTAGTTGGCGCACGCCTATCTCTGCATGAACTAAAAGCAGTGGTGAGCTTGCGAGCTTGCGCGAGACGAAGAAGTGAAAAAAAATTTTTTTTTAACCCCGACATGCTGCTATTGCATCGGCGGGGTGGCTGAATTACCAGTATATATGTACCTAAGGTATTTTTTTTCCTCTTCTCTTTAATATCGCTGGTGTACAATAGTACTCGAAGCACTGATGCAGGTAAACAAAGAATGGGATGAAAGCTTAATATTAGTCAATAAGTTATTAATTTTTCTTCTATTTTTGCATAAAATAGAAGAATAATATTTGTTTCCATGGCTTCAATCATA